CTCTATTTAGTATTTATTTGCTATCTGAGGACTTGAATATCAAAATGCCAGAGGTATATTATTCCACCCTCTTCCTAGTTTTCATTGTTATGGTGTATAGAGCACCGAATGGAGTATTTGAACTTTAAAGCTAAAAAGTCAGTTATTAGGATCATTTCTACCTTTGATTATTTCTGTGTTGTACACTTCTCTTGCCATTTCCACAGGCTCATTAAAATTTCATTCTCTGCCACATAGTAGTTGATCATAGGAATCTTAAAAATAGCCAGGCTTATGAACTTGATATTTCTGATCTCAGTTGCGGATGAAATTCTGTTTATTGTGACTGTTGTGGGATTATTATGCTTCATGATTAAGTGACCACTGCTTGAAAAAAAAAATGAAAAAGAAAAAGGAGAGAGGATAAAGTAAATAGTTAAAAGTGCAATGTGGTTTTCAATTCATTTTGAAATAAAGGCACAGTTAATCTCACATTGTAAATAACTATCAAAATGTTCCTTAACTTTTAAATTTCATATTTCTATTCATTGTTTCTTTGCTCACCATGCTGTTTATAGGAACATCAGTGTGAGGCAGTATCTGGTTTTGTATGTGAAGTATTTGGATACATTCCTAGGGCTGGTGAGAGCATCAAAGTTGCCCTCAAAAGGGTTAATCAAGATGATGATGATAAGCATGATGAAGATGGATCCGATCATCAAGATGTGAAGGAATGGCATCAGATATATAGACTTGAGGTAGGGTAAAAGCACTGAATGGATTTCAGTAAAAAAACTAGGAAAGAAAATGCATGTTGCTAGCAATCATGCGGTCTCTTACACTTGTAACTTTCTGAAATCAATGCTATTATGACGGCATGCATTTGTTCATAAAGGAATCTGCTTTTATATTGCTCATCCTATGAGATGCTTCATTTGGTGGTTCAGTTTGCTAAATGAAACTTAGCAACTCATAATAATGATTCATATGCTCCGTTTTTGTATAACACTCAAGTTTAAACATTTTTTCTTGAAAATAAGTTATCCATGTGATAACTGTGTAGGCTAATAAGACTAAATCTTGAGCATCCAATTGAATTACTGATTAATGTGAGTTAAACGTTGTCCCTGGCACAGATGTTAGCTGCAAATGCCCAAAAGGTTAGTGCTGTTCGTTTTGAGTGGACAGACAATGGGGAAGCTATGGCAGAGGCCAACGAAGTAACTCGATTGATTCCCAAAATCATGAAGAGGAAAGGGAACAATGACAAATTGGATAACATTACCTATGATGAGAACGCATTTCGAAAGAGACAAGGGAATTGCCTTTCTGATTGCTATGTAGTTGCTGAAGATACATAAGATAATGGCCATTAGCTACATTGCTTATTCTGTTTTGTTTTTCTTTAGCTCCTACTTTTCCTTTCCCATATTCTTACTGCCCCATGGAGAAGAAATGGAAGGAAACCACAGGATTACTAGATAGACTAACATTGTAAAACTTTTTCACAGATTAAGTGATGTGTCAACATCTGAAATATCATCATAGTCAGTTGTGCATATGACAGTGCCTCAGGAGTCAGGACCATAAATTCTCCAATATTAGAGTCTGAATGGCCTGAACCTGGGTATTCCTGCTCTGCATATTGACTTCTCTTTTGAGTGTACACTGAAGAGGTAGCTCTGACTGAAGCATGAGTTCAGTGTGGAAAAGTAATCTGGATGGCACATAAGGCATAGCTGCATTGATCTGCCTTGATTCAGGCAACATCTGTGAGAGCTCTTTCTCCTGCCTCATCTCCTTGGCTCTCTCCAACTATCTGAACCATTCTTGCAGAAGAGCAATGAGCGGATGAATGATCATTGGATCAATCTATCTCCACTCGTTGGAAGATGAAGAGGAACCTCTATGGGATTGATGCAAGTGCACTTTAAGAAGACCTCAAATGCATATGCTCATATATATAGGACATAGCTAGGACTTGAGATGATTATTTTAATTCATTCATTCTGGCTATTTGATTCTGTATGACTAAAAGTTGGAATAGACAAAGGCAGCTGAGCTGCAAAGTCTAACAAGGCAGAGATATGTGGCCATGTGAAGTGGTAAAAGTACGTCCAGGGAAGAAAATGGTCAGGAGCAAAATCCAAACAGAGGTGGAAGGTAGCATTTGGAATTGTTTCTTTAAGGATAATAAAAGGCTGGGTGCGTTGTGTGTTGGCTTGTCACCAAGGGCTGCTGCTATTCTTTTGGAGTCCTTTTAGTGGGGGATTTGGTTGGACCTTCCCATTATATTTGGCTTTGAACATTATCATTTTTCATTTGTGGACAGACAAAGCTTGAACACTGTGAACACAACTCGAACTTTGATGTTTCTATCAATGAAAACCTTTTTATGGAGAGGAGAGAAAAGAAGAAAAATCTACCAAAGCCAAGCCCCACTTTCTCTTGTACATGCTCTGTTTTGTCTTGAAGCTTTTGGATGGAAATGGCATGGAAGGTGAATGTTAAGATATTAGATTGGATCTGTGGTTGTTGGGGGGTGAAATCTGAAAGAAGCATATATCCTAAAGCTAAAGACAGGTATCTCATTACCCCCAAAAAAAAGAAAAAGGAAAATCTAATAGGGCAAGTGCAGCTCATTGACCGCCATGGACCCGTCTTTCTGGCAATTGATGGTAAGGAATTTTCTTTTCATATTTTTATTTATGGGTTTTATTTCTTGACAATTGGGTGTTGTTTAATTATGTATGGAAAATGTAATTACTTTGTTTGAAGAAAAATTATAGAGCCCTCCGTCCTCTGTTTCAAGTCTCAACCTTTGCTCTCTTTGCTACTACCCTTAGGTTCTTTGATTTATGTTTGTAGAGATAAGGATTTTGTCAAACTTGG